TTTAATGATTTATTTTTAATTCAGATCTCAAAAAATCAAGTGCTTATTGAATGAAATTGAAAAGGAAACACATACAAAGAAATTAGATAGCTGGTGAGCATCTCTACCATCCAGTAATGAATTCAGTAATTAATTAACCAGTATCTGTACAGGTTTTATCAACTCTCTTTTATCAACTTTTAAGTGAACATTACACTGATTATTTTTTAATTTTTTCTTTTCCATTATGCTTTCTTTTTAATAGGATATTGACTGTAGTTCCTTGTTACTCTGATTTTAGTGTCTACTTTGATGCTGCAAGTTCAGTCTGTTGATGGACTGTAAATAGTACTTATATCAGAAATATTTTAATGTAGCACTTAATATCTGCAACTTACTTCGCCATCTTATTTATTTACAAAAATTCTAAGAGATGACTGAGCATTACTCTTCTTTCTTCTACAAACCGAAAAATGAAGTTAGAGACTAAAATGATCTGTCCAAGGGAACTTGTAACACGTGATGTAAAAATTTCATTTCGTCCTGTAATATGTAAGTTGCCTCAAGCATCCAGAGAGAGGCTGAAGGTTTCAGCCGCTCCTGGGTGAGGCTGCCCACCCCGACAGCCAGGGGTGGTGGTGTAGCTGGAACTCTCCACTGCTCCGCAGACCTCATGCCACCGTCTGCCCCGAGGCCACTAGGTCTTGTCCATGTGTCATCAGGATAGAAGTATCCCCAGCTGCAGTGACCTGCTTATATCAGTCACCAAAGAGATTCCTGGCTCCCTTGTCGATTCTCCCGTCTGACCCCCGACCCCACACAAGGCCCCATCCATCCCTTTTCCCTCCCGCGTCCCCCAGCTGCCCTAACTCCCGCCCCCGAGCTGGGGGAACTCAGAGTGAGTCAGCAGTAACTGCCCTTAACCCAACCTACCTACTCTCTCAGTGTTCTTCTCACATCCTTCCCTCACTGACCTCGGCTTCCGCCCCAGGACAGGACTTCCGCTTCCTTCCACTTTACTTCCCCTTCCGCCCCTCACAAGTTTTCTCCACCGCTCCCTTTTGCATCACTGCGTGGATTTTCAGCATCCTCAAACACAACAGCTTTCCCTTCTCCTTCTGGAACCCCCCCAGTTGTGATGTTCAAACCATCAGGCTCTGTCGTTTCTCTTTTACAGTCGGATACCCCTAGCTTCCTCCATCTCTCTCTCCCTTTCCTGACCCATTTCTAGAAGCCCCAGTTCTTGCCTCACCAGCACTCCCTCTAAGTCTGCCCTGATGATAATTCTGGAGGGCCCCAGGGTCCACATGGGCCATCCTTTCCAAGACCCTGGCCTTTTCAAGTCCGTGCCCTCAACTTCTCCAGTCATCTTGTCCCCTCCCTTAACTCGGCCACCCTTGGGCCCTCTGCCTCCCGACCTTGTCGTTGCCAATCTCCACACCACCTCCACAAAACCCTGAATCCAAAGACTCCTTGAATCCAGCGGGACCCATAGCTGGTGGACCCTATCGCTTTTCTCCACTCCCTTTTCTTCCCCCTTCTCGCCTCATCCAGCTGAAATGCCAGGCTCAGTTACTACACTCACACCCGTATGTCTGCCCTGATCTCCGCTGTCTCTCCTGCTTTTGTTTCACCGGGGTGGCTGGTTAAACCTGACCCTCTGCCTTTTCTGCATCTGTGCCCACACTGGTCAGCGTGACAGAAAAAAAACCCAGGTTGATGGATCTCACTCCAAATTCACTCATTTTCTACCCTTATTCACTCCCTACCCTCCTAAATGACACTTTCACCATCCTTTCCACTCTCTGTAAAACTCTTCCCTCACTTAACTCTCAAGTGATGACTCTGTTTCCCTTGAAACAACCAGCAAAATCCTTCCCGTGTATCCAGCCCTCCCCGCTGCCACCAGGTCGAGCCATCTCCACTTTGTCTCTGGCCAAATCTACACTCTGCTAGCTGTCGAATCAAGGATGTTGCCCCTGACATGCTCCTCTTTCCTCTGCATTATCTCCCTGCTGCGCTGCAATCATTCCCATCAGCACATAAACGTGGTATTTTTTGGCCTATAAAAAAGAAAATTTTTTTGATTTCACATTCCCTATCTCCAGCTACCTCTTATCTTTGTTTTCATTGATAGCTAAATTCCTAAAAAAATTAAAAATAAAAAAAAATAAAGTATCTATATTCCCTCTGTCTCATTCTTCTCCCTTTTCCACTGAATCCAATCCAGGTGGGCTTTCACCCTCACCAGTCCACTGGTCAAGGTCACAATGACCTCCAAGTTCCAAATCCCAGGGCTCACTGCCCATCCTTGTCCTGCCTGATAGGTGCGTGGCATGGATAATCAGTCTTCCTCCCAGATACACTGTGTTCCTTTGGCTCCCAGTTTACGTGTTCCTGGATTCCTTCCCACTTCATTTGGACCACACCTTCTATTTCACATGTTAAAACACTTTCTACATGAAATGAGCCTTAGATATGGTCACTTCAGAACTCCTCTGCCCACCTGACTCTCTACCAGGGATCTCTTCCCAGACCTCACCATGACACTTGCCTTCATATCTTTCAAGTCTTCATGCACATAGCACCTGCCTCAGCGAGACCTTTCTTGACCACCTGGGGTAAAACCTCAGCTCCCCCCAGCATGCACCATCCTTCTTTTTGGTTTTACCCCTCCTCCATTGCAATCATAACTGTCTAACATTGATGTGAAAGTGTTAGTTGCTCAGTCCTGTCTGACTCTTTGCGACCCCACGGACTGTAGCTCATCAGATTCCTCTGTCCAAGGGATTCTCCAGGCAAGATTGCTGGAGTGGGTAGGCATTTCCTTTTCCAGGGGATCTTTCTGACCCGGGGATTGAACCTGGGTCTCCTACATTGAAGGCAGGTTCTTCACCATCTGAGCCACCAGGGAAGCCCAACCAAAAGGTGATGCCCCTGGGTGGGTTTGAACCACCAACCTTTTGGTGAATAGCCAAATGTGCTAACTGTGTCACAGAGACATAGCAGCTCTGTTAACATATTATATACTGAACACATTTGTGTATATATAACATGAATAGCTTTCCCCAACTAGAAGGTAAGCCTGAGAGGACTCTCTTTTTTACTTCTCTATCCCTGTAAGAATTGTATACAGCATATGAGTAGGTGCTTATTAAGTATCCATTGAATGAAAGGGAAGAATGAAGGAAGGACTTGTGGTTTTTTAGGAAATAAAGATCAGTATTGCTGTGATGCACTATGTGGCCATTAGCACAACTGATCAGAGAAATAGTGACTTTGACTATAGCTTGATTAAATGCCTGGGAAAATGCAAAATGGCTTGAATTTTATGTAGATCTAAGGAGATGATTATAGTTGGCTTCTTTCCCTACTAATCACCCAATGACTCTAAAACAAATATGGAAACAATCTGCAAATATTGGTACAAGTTAGAAGAGAAGGTTCTATTATCTGAGCAGAAATCTCAGGGTAACAGTCAGTGATTTTTGCTTTAAGAAATCTCACAGCTTTCACAGGAAAATAGCTGTGAGGGAAAGGTGTTTTCATAAGTAGGTATGTTAGGGACCTGTTATCAGCTCTTGGAAATGCAATATCATTGATTCTGTTTGTATTTGAATAAATATTCCTGTTTGTTATTCTGGAAATTTACAGTCTGAAAACATGAATGAGGCATATTGTAACCTGCTAATGCAGGGAGTTGGAAATGATTCCAGCTTTTCTTCCTCCCTGAGTTAATCCCCTTTTTGAAATCTCATGTTGGAGATGGAAAGTTCCACTTTCTGACATACAAACACCAAACAAAAACTCACAAACCAAAAATCTGTTGAAAAAACTGAGATACTACACCTCTAACTACATGCTCTCTGGTCAGAGTGGGCAAAGACTGCCTTTGGTAGTAAAAATCAATAAGAGAGTACAAAATAGGTCAACCACCATGCTGCAAACTATAGGACATTTGTTGTCGTTTAGTCGCTCAGTCGTGTCCAACTCTTCTGCAACCCCGTGGACTGTAGCCCATCAGGCTCGTCTGACCATGGGATTCTCCAGGCAAGAATACTGGAGTGGGTAGCCATTTCCTTCTCTGGGGGATCTTCCCGACCCAGGGATCGAACCCATGTCTCCTGATCGGCAGGAGGATTCTTTACCACTGAGCCACCTGGGAAGCCCATAAATTATATGGCTTAAGTATTTATTTTTTTTAAATTTTATTTTAGTTTTTGGCCGCAAAGTGCAGCATGTGGGATCTTAGTTCTGTGGTCAGGGATTGAACCCTGTGTCCCTGCATTGGAAGTGTGGAGTCTTAAACACTGGACTGCCAGGGAAGCCCTGACATAAGTATTTCAAGGATAACTTGACATCAGATTTAACATAATAATATGGATCCTGTAATTCCATATGACGATTAAGAGATTTATTTCTAAGTGGTCAAAAATGTGTGTGTGTGTATACGTATACATAGGTAATATGTAGCACTCTGAATTATTAGCACATCTATTTAGAACCTGCCATATCTCACTAAGCACAACACAGCATATAAATAATCAACTTTCAATGGGCCAGCCATTGAGTATCAGTCACATGTTCACACCCATTGAGAACGCAGCGGCAGAGAAGTACAGATAACACGCAAAATAGAAAATTCTGGCGAAAAGAGCTTGCACATGCCCCCACAGACATCAAACCCAGCCCTGTCTGTACTGATTGATCCCTTAGGCATAATTCCTCTCAGCACTTATTTGTTTGCTTATCGGCCACCACGCCGTACCTGCTCACTGCCGCGTCCTGAGATGAAATGCTCTGGCAGGTAGCAGATGTACCAATTAATAACCTGTCGGGTCTGATGGATAAGAGAGGGAAAGCGGGTTCCCACACACAGCGCCTGCGTGGCTCCCTTCGCCATTTCAGGCGTGTGGGGGGCGGTCAGGAGACACCCCCCGCCTCCCAGGAGAGAGCCTGCATGGTCTTATTACTGTCTATCTTCCATGGCACTCGGGGCAGCCTGTGAGAGGCAGACTCACCTGCTCTTCTCCAAGAATCCTGAAGTGATGGAGCTCTTTAATCAAGGAGTTGGGACAGCCAGCTGTTGGGAAGAAGAAGAATTAATCACCGATGAGTTATTCCCATTCAGTATGGTAATGTGTTCTCACTGCAGTCACGGCTACCGGTGACCAGTATCGCTGTTGGGAAGGACACAAATGCTCACTCATAAAACATGGTCTAACCAACGACCAGACAACACTCCCCACCCCCACCCCAGGGTGCTCCAGCTGCTGCCAGCCCCCCGCTGTGGCTCTGGAGGAAGGAGTTGCACGTGACCCTGACCAGCTTTTTCTCCCCTCCCGATTGTGATCTGGATGTCATGGGGCCCGAGGACACCATGTCATTTCTGCCCAGCATGTCACTTATCACGAATACAGAGCCAGGGTTTCGTGGGGCCAGAGAGGGCGAGTTGGCAGCTGTTGGTTCATTTCACTTATTTACCACCTCCAGGCGCGGATTCTGCACGCTGAGTGAAGGATGAAGATGGGGCAGCCGGACGCCCTGTCTCCATGGGATGGGGCTAGAGTTTAGAACCACACCTGGTTCTTCCAGGAGGCTTTGTCAAGACCCTAAAGATGCTGCTTTTCAGTTTGGAAAGGGTCTATTATGGAGTCCTGTGCCCACCACCTTCTAGTTCTGCTCAGTCAGTGAGAGCCTACTCAAGCTTTATTCAGAGTTTCCTTCTTTAGTTGTTGAAAAAAAAAAGTAAGTGAATAAATCATGTGTGCTGTGTGTTCAGTTACTCAGTCGTGTCTGACTCTTTGCCACCCCATGGACTGTAGCCCGCCAGGCTCCTCTGTCCATGGGATTCTCCAGGCAGGAACACTGGCGTGGGTTGCCATGGCCTCCTCCAGGGGATCTTCCTGACCCAGGGATCGAACCCATGCCTGTTGCATCTCCTGCATTGGCAGGTGAACTCTTTATCACCGCACCACCTGGGAAGCCCAAATAAAGCATATCCATGCATATACACATATGTGTACGAGTATATATGTCTATCTATCTGTCTCTCTACCTATGCTAGGGCAGGCCAGTTCCTGTTTAAAAATGTATCCTATCTTTGTCTTTTAAATATAATTATTCCATAACATTAATTTGCCATCATTAGTAACATAAACTTGGAAAACAGAATTGATAGAGAAACCTGTTTATTTGGGATCAGATCTATGGATGACGTAATATGTTCCTATCTCTGTCTTTTAAATAGCATTATTCCACAGTATTAATTTGCCATCATTAATAACATAAACTCTGGAAACAATTGATATAGAGACCTGTTTCTTTGGGATCAGATCTATGGATGATGTGGTATGTTGGCTTTTCTATTAAGGAAAATGGATTCTGTGAAAATGCACCTAAGCGACAGCTGAAGCTGAGCTGTTTCTCTGAGTCATTATGTGAGAAGGTGGGAGGCACCGAGGATGCTGGCCTGGGGAGGGCGGGCTGCCGGGGAGGCGCTGTCTGCAGGGGGCGAAGGAGTTATCCTCTGCGAGAGGGGCTAGATGTGTGCGTTATTCTAGAAGGCAGGATTAGAGCAAATAGATTAAACAACAGCAGGTATGCTTGGGTTCACTATGAATAAATTTCTAATTTAAAATGGAATATATTTCCTTACCAGCCGGTAACTGGAAGTTTTCAGACAGAGGCTAAATAACTATTTATGCAGAATATTTTAGAGAGGAATTTGACTTGAGTTAGTTCCAATTCTGAAACTGTGGTCACATGAAATGCTGGAACAGAGATTTAGTCTTTGTTACTATATTCAATATATATTCGTCTTTGATGTTATTGCGTTTCATAGTCTTGAGAAAGTGGTTCATAAATGTTCACTAAGGTAATAAATTAAAAAAAAAATGAACAAAATGTAAACAGCAGACAAGATAAATAAATGGAAACCCCAAGGTGGATATTTTGGTGGAAAATCTAATTGTCATAGGCACATCCTACCTACAAGGAAGGAAAGCTAGACCCTGATGCCGGAAGAAACCCTTGAGCTGTGTTTCCCCTGCTGGAGGCCACCAAGGTTTATAGCCTGAGTTCCTTTTTAGAGGTTGGTCATTTCAGAGTTGCTATTCTGATCTAAACAATTAGTAAAAGTCTATTCTGGGTCATTTGGTTGGCTGCCATTCAACCAAAAACCACTGGAGAAATTCAGCCTCCTGTCCATTCTTGGGAACAAGGGGTCATATTTTTGTTTGGTGAAACTCATGAGGAAAGAGCAGAGGTGGAAAGAATTCTGAGGACACCTTCCCAACAAGCGAGGGTCGTGTGGTTTGGTGCTGAGGATATGAGGGGTGGAGGACGGGTGACAGACTGAGGTTTGCCAAGCACCAGCTCATAGGCACCCAGGGCCCCGCCTGCACTCTAAGGACCGACTTAGTTTGGTAAGACGACAGTGCCCTCCATATGAAATTCAGAGTTAATTTGAATACTTCTGGTTTTGTGCTTTCATTTATATTTAATTTATACATTTTCACTTGGGTCTTCTAGCTGTATAGTGCAAGAAGTTTCTACCTAAATGTATACCTAGACATAGCTAAGAAACATCATTAAAAACAGTTTCATTCAGGCTTCGAAGTTTTAGACGATTCTTTTTTTCCTTTACCAGTGGTCCTTCGCATCCCATCGACTTGAGAAAAACTGATTTGACTTATTTTAACGGCAGGCAAAATAAGACACAGAATTGAAAATTAACCTACCTTCAGAATTTGCATTCTAACTTTCTCCGAAGATGTAACTAAAAGGATTGATGTCAGTGATAGCTCAAATGTAAACATCTTGAACAGACGACTAGCTAATTACCCGAAACACCTGGTCGATGCAACAAAATATGACAGACAAGGAGAGACGTGGCATCGAGTGCGAAGAGAAGGGCTGTCAGGGGTCACAGTGTGGAAGAGCGCGGGAGGGCACCTCTCACTGTGTGCGTCCCGGGGCCGCCAGCGCGGGAAGCGGACAGATGCAAAGCCCGGGTGACGACGCGGTTTAAAACGAGAAATGCAAAACCTGCACGTGGAAAGCCGTAGTGCTGGCAGAAAGGGGAAAGTTCGTGGAGGGGTGCAGGGGGCAAGGAGAGCAGATGAAGACCACGTGAGGACAGGCGTCAACGGCGTAATCTGAATTCTTCCAGGCACTTCACACAGGGTCCACACACACGACAGTGGACCACCTCTGGAAGCCACCGCTGTCTACTTGGACCACACTGTCCAATAAGAGTGTGCAGCCATGAGCAGCCTTCATGTCCCTATCATTCCATCTCTTCTTGAGATAACAGCTAAGAGGCCTCTGTTAAAACATGTACATCAGATATCATGGCATCTGCCATAGGTCTTCCATCTCACCAAGAGTCAAGGCCAAGGGCCCTGGTGGCCTATGTAGGGTGCTTGGCTGCCTGGCCCTCTGTGTAGCTCCTTATCCCTCTCCTGCTGTGGGTCCCGCCAGCCTGCTGTCAGTGCTGACCACCCCGGACAGGCTGCTGTCTGCAGGGCTCTGGATTTGCTGCTCCCTCTGTCCAGAAAGCTCTTGACCCTGCCATCTGCATGGAGTGGTCCTCGACTCCTTCAGGCCCTGGCTCAAATGCCGCATTCTCAGTGAGGCTTTTCAGGACCACCCCGGGTGAAACTGCAGCCTATTTTCATCCTCCCGATCCTCCGTTACTGCTGTATTTTCTTCATAGCTCTCATCACCTTCTAAATGACTTTTCTGATATAGCACTTTATTTTCTGTCTCCTGCTGCTGAAAGGCAAAGGTGGCAAGCGCAGGACCATTGCTTTCTTGTCACCGCTCTATCAGCTGTGTCCAAAACACTGCCTGGTTGGATGAACTGTTCAACAGCAGCTGCCCCATGAATGAGTCATCCAATCTGTCACTGCCCACCTAGCTCGGTGCCCATGACACTTAGGAGGGGCTCCGATCCACCCCTCCTCTCTCTTCACCATGGAGGCTTCAGCTGTGACCTCCAGCCCCTGTGTGCTCTGATTATCAGTTAAGTGAACGTTATCTAACCCCTAACCTCTCTCCCCAGCCTGGACCCCACATGGGAGGATGCCAGTGATGCTTAGATGTCATGACTCCTTTGTACTTTCACTGTATCTTCTTTGCCAATATCCTATCTCCAGTTCTGGGCTTCCCTTGTGGCTCAGCTGGTAACGAATCTGTCTGCAATGCAGGAGACCTGGGTTCTACCCCTGGGTTGGGAAGAGCCCTTGGAGAAGGGGAAGGCTACCCACTCCAGTATTCTGGCTTGGAAAATTCCATGAACTGTATGGTCCATGGGGTTGCTAAGAGTTGGACACGACTGAGTGACTTTCACTCACTCACTATATCCAGTTCTGGGTAAACACTACCAACTGTTTTTCCTTCTCCTGTTCTGGTTCTGCCAATCATAGCTGGTGTAGCAAATAGGGGCTAGAATGCCTTCCAACAGAGATTCACACCACCTGCCTGAAGCTGCATCCTTGTTGAGAATGGCACTGCTGCAGTTCAAGGTCCACTCACTGTCAAGCCCGTGGTGCAGCCTGTTCCTGTGACTTGCCTTTGGCCGGCACCCTCTCCTATCTCCCTTGGGGATTCTTCCAAATCATCACCATCCTTCTCAATTAACCTTTAAAACTTCACTCTCAAAATAGGACCTCACCTGACCAGAAATGTAAAGCTCCGGTGATGAACGTGGAGATGTGCGGCCCAGGCCCCTGCAAGGAAGGCTAGTGGCCACGCTGCAGGAGGACATGAGAGATGCCTTGCCCTGTCTCCAGTCTCCCTCAGCTGCACAGAGCTGCCTCGCTGGAGGTCACATCTTCCCCAGGACCCCCGAATCTGCTGTCTGGGTGAGGGGGAGGTGGACCTGCCCAACCATTTTGTCCCAACACCAGCTGCTGTCGGTCGACACTGGCTCCCAAGTCTCCACTCACGTGGCAGTTCAGCTTCTCCCTCGGCCCGATCTGGGTCTCTGCTCCTCCTTTCTCAGATGCACATCTCCATGAACATCGTGTACTCTGTCCTCTGCTTCTGACTTGGCTGCCAGAGAACCCGCCCTGTGGC